TTACCTTTCTTCCATCCTATACCTTTTGTTTTCTCTGTATGTCTCTTGCACACCTAGATTTCTCCTCCTATTTCCTTTCTCTGTCAAAAAGTCCTGCCTACACCTTCTGACAAGCTACTGACCATTTAGACTTCTGTTACACCAATCACAACAATACATCTTCACACAGTGTAGAACTATCCCACAACAGGCCTGTAGACAAGCCCAAACCTCCTTCTCTCTCTCTCTCTCTCTCTCTCTCTCTCTCTGTCTCTGTCTCTGTCTCTGTCTCTCTCTCTCTCTCTCTCTCTCCTTCCCACCCTCCCTTCCTCCCTCATTTCCACAGTTGCAGCTTTGGGCTGGGGAATGAGTTGACAAACTCTTTTTTCTGTGTTCCTAACCTCTGTGAGCAGTTCTATGGGAGAACTCCCCAATGCTCCTACAGCACTGTAGGACCTAAGTCTGTCTCTTCCTTGCTATTATGGCTTTAAATTCTATTTTATTATTTAATGTGAATTTATGTCTTGCCTGTGTGTAAGAGATACCAGACTCTTAATGATCTTCAAAAACTACTAGGAGAAATCTCTCAACTACAGACAATTATTGGAGTAGAAGGGCATGATTAAAAACATCTGAAAATGACCTTAAAAGGAGATAAAGACCTAAATAGTCCATGAGTACTATCAGCTGAGGCTGAAAAGGAATTAGAGAATGGGTAGAAAAGAGAATATTAGACGCACATGTGGACTGTGTAGATCCAAACTGGACTGCACTCTGGTTATTTTACCATCTAGAGAATACCCCTCAGGAATATTAATGCAGAGGGAAGACATCATACTAGAATGGGTATTTCTACCACATAAACAGAATAAAAAACTGAAAACATATATAGAAAAGATCTCTGATTTTATATTAAAAGGTAAGTTAAGACTTCATCAACTGACTGGAAGAGACCCAGTAGAAATTATTGTACCTTTAACTAATGAGGAAATTTCCTCCTTATGGAAGGATAATGAGTATTGGCAAATAGCTTTCAGTAACTTTTTGGGAACTATTAGTAACAACTATCCCAAAACAGAGAGAATCAAATTCATAAAGAAAACAATTTGGATTCTCCCGCATATCGTGAAACAAACACCTATTTCTGGAGTTCTTACCTTTTACACGGATGCAAACAAATCAGGTAAGGCAGGGTATAAATCAGGAAAAATAAGTAAAGTAGTTCAAAGCCCTTAAAACTCTGTACAAAAGGCTGAGTTGTATGCCATTCTCATGGTACTTAAAGACTTTACAGAGCCTCTAAATATAGTCACGAATTCTCAGTATGCAGAGAGAGTGGTCTTGCACATTGAGACAGCAGAATTTGTTCATGATGGCACAGAATTAACTTATTGTTTTCACAATTACAGGAAACCATAAGAAACAGAACTCATCCCATATATATAACACATCAGATCCCATATGGGTCTGCCAGGTCCTTTAACACAAGGCAATGATAAAATTGATCGTTTATTAATAGGAAGTGTGTTGGAAGCTTAAGAATTGCATTAGAAACACCATGTTAACAACAAAGGTTTAAAGAAGGATTTTTCTATCACCTGGCAAAAAGCCAAGGACAAGGACAGAAAGCAGGCACGGAAGCTAAAGGAGAATGCCCACTTGACATACCATTGTATTTTCACTCTTACTTTTCATACAACTTAAAATGTGTGTGTGTGTGTGTGTGTAGGGGGCATTTGCCACAGTGTACAGGTGAAGATCGGGGACAGGATGTGGGTGTTGGGTCTTTCCTTCCACCATGTGGGCCCCAGGAATTGAACTCAAGATACCAGGTTTGGCAGCAAGCACCTTTATCTGTTGAGCCAGCCCACCAGTCTCCTTTTTCTTGTTACTTTTATAATTATCACACGGAATTAGAATATCTTTGTCCTTGTTATACCACAAAATTCTGTCTTTAGTCACTTAATATATTTAGACATGGAAGAAATGATTTTACAGGACAAAGGGCCAAAGAGTCTCTTATGGCATGGTCTGTTGGGATGTTGACCCTACGGAGAACTTATTTATCAATTTAAATCAGGGACTATCATCTGCCTTACATAATTGAGATTTTGGAAGGCCCCAGACGAGAAGCTGAAAATGGAATATGCTCATGTCATGTACATTAACAAGGACTCATGACTATTGTTAAAACTGCATTAGCTATCACAATTTTAAATTGCATTGTCAAGAAGCTTTAATGGTCAAATAAGGTTTATTTCTCAAGGTAATTATGAGCAATGATGAGCCTATAAGAAACTAAAACTCCATCGTGTCCTGTAGGCCAACTCTAGTTGTATTAAGTAAGGGTGGTTTTTTTCTTTATGGTGTTGGCTCTCTATGGACACACTGTGATAAAAGTACAATGACCTGGGTTGGAGAGATGGCTCAGAGGTTAAGAGCACTGACTGCTCTCCCAGGGGTCCTGAGTTCAATTCCCAGCAACCGCATGGTGGCTCACAACCATCTGTAATGAGATCTGGTGCCCTCTTCTGGCCTACAGGCATAAATGCAGACAGAACACTGCATATATAATAAATAAATAAATCTTAAAAAAAAAGTACAATGACCTAAGTATGACGTGTGGGAAAGTTGCAATGGAAGAATATCTCTTTTTATTTTCCAAGAAAACGATTTCTCTTAAATATATAGTAGAAAGTAGATGCTATTCACGGGTTGGCTCAGATCAATTTCCGTTTGATTTGCCAAGCAGTGGTGGCACAGACCTTTAATCCCAGCACTCGGGAGGCAGAGGCAGGCAGATCTCTGTGAGTTTGAGACCAGCCTGGTCTACAAGAACTAATTCCAGGACAGCCTCCAAAGTCACAGAGAAACCCTGTCTCGAACCCCCCTCCCAAAATTTCCCTTTGATTTGGATTTATTGCATGTCCAAGATTTATGCAAAAATCCTTTGCCAATCTTGTTGCCAAAAACTCTGCTGTGAGTGTTGTACACACCACAGCTAGCCATTTAATGCCATGAAACACGGCATCTTATATTTGACCTGAGAGTTCTAGTCATGTCAAAGGGAAGTTTGCCCTTGAGATTTTGGAGGTTTGAACCAGCTATAGCCTTTACCATGGGATAAGAGTAGGATCTACTCAAAGACAAGTAGCAGCCGGAAGAGCAGAAATGGATCTGGTCTTGCCTGGTATGCTGTGACAGGTAAGCCAACTGAACTCTTTGGATTCAAATCTCTCAGCTGAGATCCATGGGGTGGGAGGCTGGAAAACTCGGTGTTCCAAAGCCACAATACCAAGGTTTGTAAAAAGCCGGTTCTGTGGCAGTGAAATGTGACACTGCCGACAGGTTCGGATGTCGCTGCAGCAGTGGGGAGGAGGAATGAAGACTGATCTTTTGAGAGAAGAGCTGGCAGTAACGCAAACAGTGTGAAAACATTTGCGCAGTCTGGAACTCCCTCCAACTTTGAGAGCTCAGTGTAATAGCAAACCTGGTTGGTAAAACAGGGCTAGCACATGTGGCTCTCAGACCCAAGAGTAAGGCAGGATATAACGGGCAGGAGAAGCTAAGGGAGCATGGAAGGAAGAGGAACCCTTGGGCCAAGTGCAGTTTAAGTTACCCTGTGGTCCTAGGGATTGAACTCCGGGCTGCAGGCTTGATGGCGAGCCATCTCTCAGGCCCCATTTTATAAGCCTGTAGCCCCGCACACAACATTCCAACAACCTTATAACCTCATTTATTGAAGAAAAATTCTTTAGATAAAAATAAGCATACCAGTGTATCTTCCTTTTCTTTTTCAGTTTTTTTTTTTTGAGGCAACGTTTGACTCTAGCCCACGGTGACATGGAACTTCCTCTGTAGCCCAGGCTAGCCTCAAACTAAAGGCTATCCTTCTGTCTCAGTTTATGGATTATTGGAGTTACAGTTGCGAGTCACTACCCACACCTGCACCTCCCTTAATCTTTCTTTTAAACAGTATGACTTCAAAACCACCGGAAGTGCCAACTTCAAAACCTAGGCTTGAGAAGTATGAATGTCCTCAGCTGGGCATTGTCGTGCCTTCTTAAGCGTCTCTCAACGCCCTTGCTTACGCTAGAAAAGGTATTTCTTGATAATTTCCAAGTTTTGCTTCATACTGACTTTCCGTGGCCTACGGTTCTGGCTTCACCTGAGAGGAGGTCTCTGAAAAGAACCCAGGAGCTCACTCGTGAGATGGCTCAGCAGTTAAAGGGGAATGACTCCAACCCGGAGCGCTATCCCTGCGATCCACTCTGTGGAAGATGAGCTCTCCAGTAAGTCCTCTGACTTCCACAGGCTTGCTGTGGCAGAAAACGCCCTTCATCCCCTCCATGAGACAAACTAACAAACAAATAAACAAGCAAATGTGGGATGTTTTGTTTGCTTAAAAGGAGAAGAACCCATGTTGTGCCCTGAAAGAAATGTTAGCAATTTTTTTTTAATTCAGGAAGCGGGAATTCTGTTGCTTGCCCAATCCTACAGCAGGGAAGAGGGGGGCGAGAGCGGGGAGGGCTTTCGGACTCACCGGTATCACTCATGCAAGTTCCCAGGAACCTCAGAAGGAACTCCGTAGGGCTTAGGACACGATGCAGCCACCGCTAACAGGCAGCACACGGAGCCTTTCAGTTAATAGTTAACCGGAGCTTATAGGTAGCACTGTTTAGTGTTAGCAGGTTCATCGAGGGGGCGTTCATTCAGTCTGGCAGACTCTGCGCCGGGCACCAGGTCTGTGATATCTTCCGGCCAAGCGTGGCGGGAGGTCCCTCTGTGCACCTGTGGTCCCCCAAAAGGTCAGGCTTGGCTCTCCAGGCTTTTCTGTCGCTTTCCTGTCCCACGTACAGTGTTGATCTGAAGCGGGAAACCTAGCTGCAGCAGCACAGGCTGCAACGCCCCTGGCCCTGAGCCCTGCCTCCACCCGGGTGGCGGGTCCCCGCCGCATTCCCTCCCTGCGTGGCTGCCGGAGGCGCTCAGCTGACCTGGGGGCGGGTCCGGGCTCTGGGCGGGGACAGAGCGACCTAGCCTTGGCTAGGTCTGGGGTGACACTGACGGGTTCCTGCTGCTTGCGGTCAGCATGCATCTCCATCTGCTCGCGCTGTTGGCGCTGTGCGGGGCGGGCTGCGTGGTGGCAGGACCCAGCTACAGCCTGCGGGGGAGCTGGCTGGTGAGCAACAGGAACGGCTCCCTGAAGTTCCCGGGGACTGTCCCCGGCTGCGTGCACAGCGCCCTGTACCAGCGCGGGCTGATCCAGGTAGGACTCGCCGCCACCCCTCCATGAGGTCCAGGTCTGTCTGTCTGTGCTGCTGTGGGCAGTTGGGGAAATTGCCTGGCAGTGGAGGGGTTCAGATCAGTTTTGTACACTTAGCACCCACGCTGGGCCATCAGTGACCCTGGGAAGCGGAAGTTGCCTATAGAAAGCAAACATGTTGTCTGCTGTCTGCTTACTGAGGTGATTCTGGCCTCAAGTACTTCATAAGAAGACTTGCCTCTCTCCTAAGGACGGTTTGCAGGAACGCTTAGTCCATCGTAGTTCATTGACTGTAGCATCTCGGGTTTTCAAGTTCGCTTTGAAGCCTCGGGAAGTCTGGTCTGAAGTAAACCCAAGAGACTGGGGAATCACGAATAGTTTGGCTACTGGTGCTCATTTGTAAAGCCTAAATATTTAGGGTGTTCGCGTGTTTTGGGAATGAAACCCAGAGCCAGGAACACATTGTACCACCGAACTACACCCCAGTCTAAAACCTAAATAATGTTTTGATTTTTTAATGGGGTAATAGGGTTTCATTGTGACATTTTCATGCGAGTATACCATGTATCCTGCTAATACTCACGCTTTACAGTTGATCCCTCCCCTTTTCCAAGTAGTTTCACTATTGTGCCCTATATACTTATGCACACATATATTTAAAACTAGATTCAACATGAGTGAAAACATGTCACTTCTTACTTGTCTTTCTGAGTCTGGTTTATTTTGCCTAACTCGATTATTTCTATTTCCATTCTTTTTAAACCAAATTTCATTGTCTTTGTTATTCATATTCATATTCTTTTTTTTTTTAGTTTTTTTTGAGACAGGATCTTACATAGTTCAGTCTGGTTTTGAACTACCAATGAAACTAAGGGTAATCTTGAACTCCTGATCCTCCTGCCTCAGCCTCTCATGTGCTGGAGATAAAAGTGAGTACCACCATGCACAACCTAATTACATTTTTTCTTTATGGCTAAGGTGTGTGTGTGTGTGTGTGTGTGTGTGTGTGTGTGTGTGTGTGTGTGCTCGACAGAGCCTTGAGCGTGCCTTGAGCGTGCCAGGCAAGTGCCCTATCATTGGACTATACCCCCTACACACGCAAACTACCTTTACCTGTGTGATGACATTTGTAGTTTTCTTAAATGCTAAATAACCAAGCTTTATGTAAAATTTCTGATCTGGTACTCATTTCTGCCTTTTTTTTTTCACCCCATATATCAGAAAGAAAGTGAATACAATAACTTGCAATGAATATTGCTCAGGGTGCTTTTTAGGTAAATCTTTCTGAAACTTAAGAGGTGTATTCTTAGTTAACAGATGATACAGGAGAGGGGAACGTGGGGGCGGAAGACAGAAGAGGAAAATAGTCCCGAAGTGAGGGGACACGAGGGAGAAAGAGGAAGAGACTGGGAAGGGAGGGGGGACTGGGAGGGGAGGAGGGAGACAGGTAGAGGGAGGAGGGGGACGGGAAGGGGAGGAGAAGAGGAGGGCGGGAGGATGAGGGGTGGGAAGGAGAGGAGGGAAGATAGGAAGGGAGGAGGGAGGTGGAGGGGAGGGAGGAGAGAGAGGGAAGGGAGGTGGGAGAGGGGAAGAAGGGGGACAAGGGAGGGGAGGATGGGAAGAGAAATGCCTAAAACAAATAGAAAGAAATGCCAGAGTGAAACCTAATTCTTTTTTTTTTTTGTTTTGTTTTGTTTTTTGTTTTTTTGTTTGTTTGTTTGTTTGTTTTTTCGAGACAGGGTTTCTCTGTCATGTTTTGGAGGCTGTCCTGGAACTAGTTCTTGTAGACCAGGCCAGTCTCGAACTCACAGAGATCCGCCTGCCTCTGCCTCCCGAGTGCTGGGACTAAAGGCGAGTGCTGGGACTAAAGGCGTGCACCACCACCGCCTGGCTGAAGCCTAATTCTTTGTATGCAAATAAAAAGGAAAACACAAGTGCCCGTGACAGGCCACAGCTTACCTTGGATTCCATCTGCAGAGTCTCCGTTCACTTCCTTTGACTAATTGATTTTAGCCAACAGGGAATCGTAACTTTAGCAGATGAGATTATTGTCCTGTGCTATCAGGACATTCCAAGACAAAACTTGGTTCTTTCTAACTGCAGATGTTTGCTTGGGTTGTGAAATAAGTAACATACACTTCCTCATGGTGTAAGTCACAAGGCCTTGCAACCTCTTCACAGATTCTTAGAAAAGATAAATTCAGATAAAGTGGATTGGCTTCCTTTGTGTCAGGGGGGTAAGAGAAGGGTTAGTGAATTAGGGAAGAAGACTTTGTCCAAACTGAGTAAGGTGACTTTGCTTCCTGGTGTTATTGTAACATCCCCCTTTAGCGCTGAGCTTAAGAAACGTTCTCTTGTTTGGCACAGACACTGGACCAGACATGAACTTGAAACTTATCATGAGAAAGCCATTTATTTCTTTATCCATTTATCATATTAATTACCCTATATTCATTTAATATCTCACATTTTAGCACTGTTTTAAGTGCTTGAAATTCAACAGTAAAGAAAAAGCTTTGTTACAGCGAACTTCCTAGAGAGACAGTTACCAGGTTAATACATGACAACTCAGCGGGTACACTGAAGAAAAAAAAAACAGCAGGTAAAAGGCCGAGATGGCTGAAAAGTTGTTGTTTGATTGCTTTTAAAAGGTATTTATTTATTTATTATGTACAATGTTCTGCCTGCATGTCTGCCTACATGTCTGTCTGCATGTATGCCTGCATATATGTCTGTCTGCATGGCAGAAAAAGGCACCAAATCTCATTACAGATGGTTGTGAGCCACCATGTGGTTTCTGGGGATTGAACTCAGGACCTCTGGAAGAGCAGTCAGTGCTCTCAACCTCTGAGTCATCTCTTAGCCCTTTGGTTTTTTTGTTTTTTAAGTGGCCGCAGATGGCCATTTTCATATGGATTTTTCTCAGCCGAGCACTTTTTCACTTTTACAGAGGAGACATTCATTTTTAGCCAAGTAGAAAAATGGGCAGGAATGGGCCCGAAGGAATTGGCATGCCTCACAGGCTCCGTTAATAGTCAGCAGGGCAGAGAGTCCAGGAGGCTGTGTGCCCTGGAAGAAAGATGAGTTCAGAGATCACCAAGGTGTGACCGCAAATGGAACACTGGATTTATTCTACGTGAGATGGAAAACTGAGTGCTTTGACTTGGAGAAGCATGGTTGGTTTTATGTTGTAAATGGTCACTGTCCCGACGGCTGTGCACAGTGCATAGAAGCATGGATCAGCTATGGGGGACACTTGCAGTCTTGAGGCCTGGAGTTCCTGTATTGGAGCAAGGAAATGAAGAGAATAGTTTCTTGGAGTTTTTGTTTGTTTGTTTGTTTTTACTCTCTCTCTCTCTCTCTCTCTCTCTCTCTCTCTCTCTCTCTCTTCCTCTCTCTCTGTGTGTGTGTGTGTGTGTGTGTGTGTGTGTGTGTGTGTGTGTGTGTGTGTGTGTGTGTACAACTTGCAGAAGTAGGCTTTCTCCTTCCCACATGGATTCCAGGGATCAGACTCAGTAATCAGGCTCAGAAGCCAGTGCCTTTATTCACTGAGCCATCTTGCAGGCCCTCCCTGTTTTGTTTTTCAAAGCAGGGTTTTACTCTGTAGCCCAAGGTGGCCTTGAATTTACAAGTAAGCCTCTTCCTTAGGCTCCCAAGTGCTAGGATTCTGTGCCAGCACCCCTGGTTTGAGTAGTTTGTGGGTGCACATAGTAAATGTAGAACCAAAAGTTGGGTTTGTTTACAGAGCGGATGTGAGCAGCAGGACCAGAAGGAGCCTAAAAGAATATCAGTAATTTGTACCTGAGCTGGTAGCTAATGGAACTTGTGTTTACAGAAAGACTCTGTGACCGACCTTGGTTATCTTGAAGCTGACTGAGAGTTTCCTTTACAGAATCTCCAGCCCCTAGGTGCGTCAGAGTAAAGGAACTTCCAGTAATTTTTATCTAAATAAAGACGGATGGGGCTGGTGAGTTGGCTCAGGGAGTCAGTTCTCCCCTTCGGCCCTGGGTTCTAGGAGGAAACTCTAGCTGTCAGGCTAGCACAGCCACACCGTTGCCCACTGAGCCATCCCCTCCTGTCTTCTAGATCACCAGTTTCTCTCCTCAAAAACAACCACCACAACTAGCCATTTCTTGGGGATTCTTCTTTGTAGACATATGTAGGTATACATCTTATCTAGATTTGTCAGTCTCTCCCTCCCACAAATGATGACATTCTATGACCATTATTCTATACTAACATGATAAGTCTTAGACAGCTTTCTAGATCATTATGCAAATAGAAATGCTAGTTATCACGACTGAATGCTCACTGTGCCAAGAACAGCTCCGAGCATTTTTACCTCTCCAGTCTTTGTGATCCTTGGGAAATAATTACTTTCTCTGTCCTAGAGGAGGGCTGGGGAGCATAGGTGTGGGGGGCTGTCTCTTTCTTTTTGTGTGTTTGTTTTTTGAGACAGAGTTTCTTTGCTTGTCCTAGAACTATCTCTGTAGACCAGGCTGACCTCGAACTCACAGAGATCCACCTGCCTCTGCCTCCCAAGCCCTGGGATTAAAGGTGTGCGCCACCACTGCCATGCACTTTCTTTCTAAGAAAATTTTATTGCTTGTATACTTATTGCAGGGGTGTGGGTGCTGAGCCATGGGCCACGTATGGAGCTCAGATGACAACTTATGGGAGTCAGTTCTCTGCTTCTACCGTGTGTTCGCTGAGGATTGAACTCAGGCCTTCAGGTTTGATGGGAAGTGCCTTTATCCGAGGAACCATCTTTCTGGCCCTGAGCTTAGGTTTTCTGCCCTTCACATGGATCCCACAGGCAGTCTGGCTAAGCTAGGAGTCAGACCATGTAAAACTGACTGCCACCTTGGCTTCATGCACCTCCGGGCTCTATCTCGGGAGCAGCTTCAGTCTCTATGGAGGAGGCCCAGCATAGCACAGTCCTGACCCGCGAAGAATTGCTTGGGGCATCTGTCCAGTTCTTTCATTAGCTCCAGCACCAGAAC